ATACTGAGCATGATGACCAGCAAAGCAGTGGGGACACAGACCAGCAAAGCAGTGGGGATACAGACCAGCAAGGAAACTTGAATAGTACCAAGGGCGTAATATGGAATTGGGTGTTGATTGAATATGAGGGACAGAAACGTACCAAAACATTCATAGGACAGGTAGTCAACACTAACGGTGATGAAATCACTGTCAAATTCTTGAAACGCAGTACTGGTATCAGACAAGTATGTGTGGCCTAATATTGATAACATGGATTACCATTCACTGGTCAAGCATTAAGCAAGTACTCAAAGAGCCACGGATGGATAGAAGAGAACAATTTACTTTCAACTACAGTAGGCACAAGTTTTGATTATAAGGAGCTGTGGTTAACTAAAAATTTAAACATGATTGGTACCTTACATACTGTATGTGCAGTCATGTTCAATTGTAAGTGGCACCTTTTTGAACAATCTTCCACAAGACCCTTTCTTTTTCTTTTTCACTCCAGATACCTGCAGTATACATGACTGCATTGCAGTAGTACAAGACTCTTTGTTTTCAATGTTTATTGTAGTTTGAATAATTTGTGCCAAAAGATGAGCTCATTCAGCACATGTTGGCTATCTCAATACTTTGGGATCATGCACATGATGTCAGATGAAGTTATTCGGCACACATGGTCAATTATATTGTGATTTCACAGCTCATTAGGTTATTCCTAATTCGCGGTTTGTAAGTATGTAATTCCGTTACCATGTTTAACGTTTACTGTTGGATATATATGGAAGCAAGTGTTAGCTCGCAAACTGAAGCAGGCTTAGAAAGTTTGAAGCCAAGAAATATTCTTGAAGCAACTGCCTTGTTTCTGATCACAACTCGGGGTTCACAAGTTAGAAATTTCATGTTCTTTTCCAGTAAATTCTTGTTGCTAGGTACAAAAATTGAATTATCTTTCAGCAAGGCATACAGATGCATTGAATTATGGTTTATTTTATATGATTAAAGCTGAAAAACATGCCTAGAGTAAGAAAAAACATATACTTTTTAAGAATTGACATTTTTCAAGGTACATTTCACAGGTGTAATTCCGTTACCATTTTTTAAAATTCCGTTACCACTGCCTC